TATAAAAGTCAAAAGTTTGACATCACTGTGCAGATACCGCTCATTGTGATCTCCTGTAAGACTGCTCTTGTGGTCACTTGGCTGCAGCTTTGTCGTAAGAAACAGATGCCCCCTTTCCACTAAGAACAGTAGAGAAGTCAGAGATTTCTTGCTGTTACATTTTCTTGCACTTTTTCTTTTCTTCATTCTCTATAGATTCCTTATTATGTCTGGATCAAAGGTGATTCAATCATGGATATTGTATATGATTTGGTAATTTTTCTGCTTATGAAATGTTTAAGTGGAAAAGCTGATGTTCTTCCTTCACAAAATTCATTTTCATTAGATGTGAATTCCCAAAAACAATTTCTTCTTGAAAGATTCATAAACTAAATGGGATTAAGTTCCAAAAATTAAACATAATTCTTAAAGATTATTCTATTTGATAAAATGAATGCAAAATAGACATCGAACCAACTGACAAATATAAGAGTTATGATTTAATCAAATCTCTATTATTCTGCCTTGGATTATTGAAAATTGTTTAACACGTATTGGCTCACAAAGATTATAATATTCTTCCTTGAAGTTATCTAGCTAACATTCTCACTCAGTATTCTTTTTAACACTCAGTCTTTTTCCCAATTTATTTGCTATTTTATTTTTTTAATATATATTTTTTTAGTTTTAGGTGGACACAATATCTTTATTTTGTTTGTATGTGGTGCTGAGAATCGAACCAGTGCCCCGCGCATGCTAGGCGAGTGCGCTACCCCTTGAGCCACATCCCCAGCTCCTATATGCTATTTTAAAATGTTTAATTGTTTTTGAACACTGTTACAATTTGGAAATTCCCCCCAAAGCTCCTGTGTTGATGAAGGAACATTCAGAGGTGAAATGATGAGATTATGACAGCTGTAACCTAATCAGTCCATCCCAATTTGAATGGACTGACTGCAATGGTAACTATAAGTGAGATGTGGTTAGAGGAGGTGGGTCCTGGGGGCTGCCCTGGAAGTGTTCCTCCTCCCAACTCTCCCCCCACCCATTTCCCGGTGGTCATGAATGGAGCCGTGCTCCTCAGCCAAATCCTTTCACCATGACATTCTGCCTCACCTTGGACCCAGAGTAGTGGGCAGCCCACCATGGACTGAACTTCTGAAACTTTGAGCCAAAATAAACTTTTCCTCTTCTAGGTTGCTTTTGTCAGGTACTTTGGTGACAGTGACAAAAAACTGACACAAACATAAAAACAGCAGTTTTCACAACCATCATTCATTACTGTGTCACGTTAGCCTTATAAAACTAAATGTACATATATGGTTTCACTGGCTGATAACTTTAATATATGAAGCATAAAAGAGATCTTCCCCTTAGTTTATCTAGACATTTATAGTGAGGATCATCTATTAATAAATCTAGATAACAGGTATTGTGTATGTTGCTGATATTAACATTCTAAGTACACACAATGATGACCTTGTGTAACCATGACTGTGGACCAAGCATGGGCTCATGTGATGCTGAAGTATGCCTTCAGCTATTTTGACTTCCAAAAGCTAAGGTTGAAGGTCAATTCCTAGATTTGAAGCTGAAGATAAAGACCAAAGTCAAACTTTGATAGATTCTCTATACACACATATAGGTAAATACAGAGAGTCCTCAGCTTAATAAGGTTCCACTTGGGATTTTTTTTTTTTTTTTGACTTTGCAATGGTGTGAAATCAATATGAATTCAGTAGAAACCATACTTTAAATTTCCAGTTTTGATATTTTTCCCTGGCTGGTGACAGTTTGATACTCTTTTAAAGTATAACACAGTGGCAGTGAGGTGAAGTTCTCAGCCAGCATATGAGATAGTCAATGTCTTCTTATGCAGTAGGCCTTGTGTTAGATGATTTTGGCCAATTCTATGGGTTCTAAGTGCATTTAAGGTGGGTAAGGCTGAGCTATGATGTTTGTTAGGTAAGTCATATTAACTCATTTTGACTTACGATATTTCAATTTACAATGGATTTATAGGGTTGTAACCCCATTGTAATTTAAGGAAGATCAGTGTACATATACCTGTATGCATATATGTTCCTGTCTACCTCCAGCTGCCTCAAAGAAGGGAATTTAGGACCTGGGAATGAGAACTGGGAAACAAATATAATGATAATGCTATGTATATTTATAATATATTATAAATTTACACACACACACACATATATATATATATATATATATATATATATACTTGAAGTTAGAAGAAAGTATTTTGAATGTATTCACCATAAAAAAATGATAAATGTTTGAGCAGATAAATGTTTACCATGATTTGAACATTTCACAACGTATACATGTATGGAAACATCACATGGTGTCCCATAAATATACACAATTTTTATGTGTCAGTTAAAAATAATTTAAAAAGAAAAGAATAAGAGACTTGCTTTTTAACTGTATCTACTGTATACTTTTGTACTGTTTTGTTTTGATTTTTAACCCTGAATTTCAGTATTCCAAAAGGGGAGCTTCCAGCAGAGAAATGACACCCAGTTCTATCAACTGATGGGTCATGTATCTGGGTTCAGAGCCCCAGCAATTCCTGAGACTTGGGGGAGTTTATCCACTCAGCTCTCCCAGGAAGACATGTCCCTAAGTCCCTGTGTGAGGCTGATGATAGATTCATTGTCCTCCAATTTTCCAGATGAACCACCCCTGTTTTTATGTCTATGGCCAAAATTTCCTTCAGAGGATTAAACTAAGTACACTCCCACCAGTAGTGAATTCTCGTTTTATTATTACTAACCCTGGTAGTTACCACTGATGGGTGCTTATAACCTAGCAGCCTTCACTTCTGGGAATGCCTCCTAAAGACAAGATATATGTATAAGGTCTGTTTTAGTCAGTTTTTCCATTGCTGTGACTAAAAGACCAGAACAACTGTAGAAGAGGAAAATTTTCTGGGAGCTCACAGTTTCAGAGACTGAAGTCCATAGAAGGCCCGCTCCATTCCTCGGGGCTCCAGATGAGGCTGAGCATCATAGCAGGAGAGTGTGTCAGAGGGAGGCAGCTCACATGGTGATCAGAAAGCAGAGAGACTTCACTCTCCAGATACAAATATATACCCCAAAGCCACGCCCCCATGCCCACCTCCTCCAGCCACACTCTACCGGCCTTCAGTTACCACTCAGCGAATCCCTATCAGGGGATTAATTCAGATTGGGTTATGATTCTTAAAAACCCAATCATTTCTCCTCCGAACCTTCTTGCATTGTCTCACACAAGAGCTTTTGGGAGACACCTCACATCCAATCCATAACAAGGTCCCTAATAGTATGCTTTGGTAAAGGAATTTTTGAAACAAATGAGAATGGTTTAAATAAATTATGACAAATTTATGTAGCAGGAGGCTACATTTATATAATAGAGAATAAATTTAAGTAAGAGAATGAATACTCTTATGTAATGAAATTTATATAATAATGCCTAGGATTTTCAACCATTATGCCAACATTTTAAAAGTAAATCAGTGATGTAAATAAATGAAACATATAAAAATTGAACTTTCTCTCAAGTTCTCTCAAGAAGAGAGAAAGGGCAGCAGCAGAAAGGGTTCCTGGGGTTTCCAGAGGAATTTTTAAACAATGTAAGTATATAAAGTTATGGGTTAAAATCAAAATAAAGCCATACACACAGTCTGTATTAGTTTTATAAAATATTTTCAAACTCATATATAACTGTAGAAAAAGTTGTGAAAAGAATGTAGTAGAATAATGATGATAGTTTTCTCAGTTAGATATCAGGATATTAATATTTTCTTTTTATTAGGTTTATGCTTTTGTTTTCCAAGATTATTTCTTCTCCTCCTCCCCATTCCTCTCCCTCTTACTCTTCTTTTTACTTACAAAGAGAGGTGCATGTTGCATGGTGCCTGTTCCCATCTTGACTGCAGCCTGCCTGTCATGGCTGGGAGCATATACGCATTTCTGTCCTCCAAAATTCTTTATTTAACATGTACCATGGTCATAATCAGGGTGAAATTATTTTAAAGAGGTTTTTATTCCTTTCTTCCCTAATAGTCACTCCAACATTTAGTTGGTAACAAGATCTCAGAGACTTATTCTTCTGATGTTGTCTCTCCCATGATAAAAATATTATAAATACATATTACAAAGTTATGATTAAGACTAAATGCAGGGTTTCCGTTGCTATCCTTATACAGAGGCTCATGCTCTAATAAAGTGGTTAACGATGATTACATTTCCTTTCCTTGTGTTCTTTTTGTTTTTCCTGTTGCTGATGATTATCCATCTGACTGTTGAATGGAGGAGGAGGAGAGAGGGAGGGGATGAAGCAAAGGATGCTGGGGCGATTGTCAAAGTTGTTTCTTGATCAGGGGGTTGTTACAAAGGTGTTGGCCCTATGTCCACTAACTATACTTTCATATGGTTTTTCTGTGCTTTAGTTTATCCACAAAACCAAATGTTTAGATAAATCATGAAACAAGAACAAAACTTGAAGGTCTAGCTTATGCGTGGATCTCCATCTTCCTCATACCTACTCCCTTCAATTTTAGATTCATTCTGAAATCCCTCGGGTATTTAGGTTTGACCCACATCCACTCTTAACAGATGACTGCTGTCACTCCATCTGCTTTCTGTCTTTATGTACAGTTGGCCCCCTCTGTTCACAAGTTCTACATCCACAGAGCCAACCAACCACCGATGGAACATATTTCAAAAAATTACAGCTGTACTGAAATGCAGACATTTTTTCTAGTCATTTTTCCCTTATTGACATAGCACAACAACTAATTTATATAGATTTACATTGCATTAGGCATTATAAGTAATCTAGAGATGATTTAATATATATGAAGGATGTGCATAACTTATTTGCAAATACTACTCCATTTTACATAAGGGACTGGAGCATCCACATATTTTGGTAGCCGTGTGTATATGTGTGTGGTGGGGGTGTTCTGGAGCTAATTCCCTGAGAATACTGAAGGACAACTGCACTGTGATACGGGATTATAGTTACATCTTAGCTTTATTGAAAACAGTGACATAACTTTTGTGTTTTATTCTGTTTTGGGGGATTTTGAAAAAAAATGGAAGAAATATCTTTACAACATCATTTAAAATTCCTAAGTCTCTGCCTTAGATTTTTGTATAATCGTGATAAGATTTCTATAACCTCCATTCTCTAAATTTTCTGCAATGAATATGTATGGCTTTAATCATAAGAAAATGCTCGCTCGCTCTCGCTCTCTCTCTCTCTCTCAACACAAAACTGTCCAAGAAGGCCTGGAGCTCTAGATCCTGCATCTGCCTCTGGCAGAGGAAGCCCACTTGCCTTTCACACTCAGACCACCACACCCTCCTTTTCCAGAAGCACTCTGAGGGTCCTTAATTCTGGGACAGAGCTGGTTACTAAAGTCTTTGGCAACCATGCCAGCTCATCTGCATACAGTGTGGAGCCTCTCAATAGATTCTGAATGGTCATGCTTTTCAAAGCCTGTGTTTCCAGAAAATTTAGTGTGTGTTTGTGTGTGTGTTTGAGTGCGTGTGTGTATTGCCAAAGGTTTACATTCCCATTGATGCCATTCCAACAATAGGTGGTGGGCATTCCCTAGGAATTCTCATGACTATACATAAACTTTCTAGTCCTTAAGACTTAACATACCCTGAATGCCCTGAGAGGTGGACACCTGGACCCTATATCCTATAACACTTTTGAACTTCTTTGGCTGCCAACAGGCCCAAAGGAATCGGAGATCCCAGGATCTAAAATGTCCCCACTGCCCCCTATCAGCTGTGGAGGCTAACAGGAAATAGCAATCCCAAAGCAGCAGATATTCACATTTCCTGAGGTTTTTCTGATTGGGCTCCCCTTGGGCTCTGGGGATGCCGCCCATTTCTGTCTCAGGTAAGCAGGAAGACCTCCAGGAAGGCTCTGTTCCTCCCCCTCCTCTACTTCAGGCACCTTCAAGCTTCAAGTGCTTCTGCCTCCACTCCCAAGGGCCTCCACTTCCTCCAACCCTCAGATCATAGGCTTTATAGCCCATCTACAATTAGATTCTGCTGGGAATCTTAGGAGAATTGATCCAGCCAATTAAGTTAGGAAATTGCTCTCTAAATTTAACATGTCCATCAATCTCATCCAAAATGGCAGCATTGATTTGGTGGGCTGAAGCTTTAAGGTTATTTTTATTTAATCCAACAGAAACTATATTAGGCTTCCCCCACTTCACAGGTTTACTCGCTTCCCAATTTGGTTTTATTAAGCTCAGCACTGAAGCTATCTCATAAAATAACCCTCATCAATACTTTCCTGCAGGATTCCCCCATCTCCACCCTGGAGATATTGCCAGGAAAAGCTGCTGAGGTAACACGCATAAATCTCTCCTGTCACTTGCCTTTGGTGTGCTCTGTGTCCCCATTTGTGAATTTGTTTATTCCCAACCTCTTTTTCAAAAAAAGGATTAGGACAATATGTGTGCATGTGTACATAAACCCACATATGGAAAGATATCCCCTATTAAAGTCACACTCTACTTGGGTCATTTCCTCCACCTTGAGAAGCCATCTGTTACCCCGGAGCATTGTTCTAATGGCCAGGACCATGCCAAGAGGGGCCCACACACATATGCGCAAAGACAGAGTTACATTTGGAGACTGGATATCATCTTTAATTAATAATGCCACAGTCCAACATCCTTTCTGTTGCTGTAGCAGATGGTGACTGTGTGCGCGCACATGCGCTTGTGTGTGTGTGTGTGTGTGTGTGTGTGTTCCTGAAGAGATGAGAGGCCAGCATAGACTCCCAAGCAGGTCTCAGCTAACGACTCTGCTTAGCAGCAACTGGAAGATGATCTCTATAGGGATACAAAGGCCAGACTTTGCCTCTTATGGTACTGAGCCTTCCTTCCTCCCAGGCCACCTTTTGTTTCTTCTGGGCAAGGCTGAGACCTGTACTAGGTCAGGTTAAAGGGCTTCTCAGAAAAGACCAGCCTCTGGTTCCCAGTTCTTACTGCCTCTGACCAGAGGAATATCCCTGGGTGAAATACAAATAGCTAGGCCAAGGCAGACCACCTGGGCCAGCACTGGTCCCCTATGTCATACTGGGGCAGCACCACAATGGTCCAGCACTGGGCAGAGATCCAGAGCTACTGGGCCATTTGATAAGTTCTTTTCAGAGACAATCTGAATGTAGACAAGGCCTTTCTTCCGGCCAGCCACAGAGGGTCAGACTTGGCTGTGGCAGCCACTGGAAGTCATTTCCAACGCAACCCCAACCCAACAGCCTGCCCTCCTGACACTGCCATCTCCACTCTTCTCAATTCCTCACGTGCCCAGTAGGTCTGTAGCTCAAACATGGCAGGGGAGGGTCATCATGATGGTGGTCACAAGGAGGCCATGAGAGACCTGGGCTAAGCTGGATCTGCAGCCATGTGCCGGCCCTGAAGCCAGCCCTCTCCCCCATGGTCACCGCCAGCCAGGGCTCTCTGAAGCCAGATTGGATCCCCACAGGCCAGGCAACAAGTTCTTGGCCTAGTGCAGAGGGAGAAAACCAAAGTGGCTCCACGGTCCCATCTCCACTGCTCTGTGCCTTGGGAAGGCAAGGAGCCCAAGTCCCAGGATGGTAGGATCAGCTGTTGGGGAAGCACCGCTGTCCAGGTGAGGCCTCAGGCCGGAAGCTGGGCTTGTTCAGCGGGCTGGGGTAGTAGGTGGTCGTGTATACATTGGTCTGCTGTAGTGGGTAGAAGTTGGCTCTGTCATCAGGGATCAGGTTATTTTTGTTCAGGGTCTGTGGGAAGAAGAAATCAGAGAGAAAGGGGTTAGGGGAGAGGTAGGGAAGGGAACAGGCCAGGGCCAGGGGTCCAGGAGTCAGCTGGTGAAGAAACGTTCCAGATGCTGAGGCAGTGCTCCCTCATGCCAACATGCCCCCCACTGTCCACCCCGTCATGCCCAGCTCAAGGATAGGACCACTGTTCCCTTCACCCTGGCTTCTGCTACTACCAGAAGGCTCCGCACCTTGAACTCCATGGGAGTGTATTTCTCATTCTTGGGGGTGCCCCCACCCTTGTAGTGCAGGTGATTGGGGGTGGCAGGATGGACGAGTGTGGACTCCTGAGACTGACGCTGGCAGTGCTGGCAAGACAGGTACACCGCCAAGGTCAGGAGCCCAGAGCCCAGGAAGCAGGAAACGCCGGTGGCCACCAGGTGGATAAGACTGAACCCTGGAGAAGGACAGGCAGGTGGTAAGAAAAGGACCACTGTGAAGAAGAGAGATTCCTGACTATCTCCTGAGAGTGGAAATAGCAATAAGAGGCTCTGGGACACAAAGGAAAGAAAGGATTTTGAGGCCAGAGCCAAAGGAAACAGGGGAGCCTCCTCCCCAGGAAAATCTGTGGCTTGAGTCAGACATGGCAACCAGAAGATCGGGGGATGGATAACTTTCTTAGGTATAGACTGATGATGGCCTCCCAGATGAGGAGCATGGCTGGAACTACCCAGGTCTCCCTGCACACAGCCTGGAAGTAGTGGGCCTGACTGTCTGAAGTGGGAGGTAGGAAGAATCCAGGCTTTGGAGTGGGGAGGAGGAATAGAAGTATGTGTCATGAGTGGCTCCTTTTACCTCCACAGCTGGCGGCCTCCTCCACACTGGAGGCAGGCAGGATTACTGCAGGAAGACAAGTGGAGAAAGTGTTAGGGCAAAGTGGAGAGAGGCAGGCTCCCTCCTGGGCTGGGTGTGGCTCTGGGAGGACCCCTGGGTCAGCACTAAAGTGCAGGAATGGGCCTCCCTTTGTCACTCCACAGACCTCTTCTCTACAAGGGCTGGCCTGTTCACTAGCTATGTAGTGCCAGAGCCCCAGGTGTGTGCACCAGGCAAGAGGTGAGTCTCTGGGTATTTCATCTTGCTCCAGGACATACCCCAGCCCAGGACACAGTCGTCAGACTGGGAACTTGGGAGCTTGGGGAAGGAAAGGCTGGTCTGAAGGTTTTGGCATAAGAACCTACCAGGAATTTCGCTGTAGGGACAGGGGCGACTCTGGCTGCTGTTTCCAGCACAGGCATTGGGCCCTGGAACAAGCTCCTCACAGTGCCGGCTTCGGCTTTGGGCTCCATCTTCGGTGCATATACCCCACTCAGACCATGGTGACCAGCCTTCTGTGGGTTGTTTGGGATGCAGTTGAGTGCCCCAGGAACCACGGCTGGGGATCAGAGGCTCCATGGTGCTCCCCAACCCCGGCCAGATGTACCCAGTACCTGGGCAGGCCTGTGTGGCACATAGTGCCTCCTCCGTGTGCAGCCCGAGACAGATGTCCTCACCTGGAGAGGGAGCAGGGCTGGTGCAGGAACGTGTGCGCTGATAGTGGCCCCCACCGCAGGAGGCTGAGCATTGGGACCACGAGGTCCAGCAGGACCAGGCACCCCGCACTGCAAGTGGATGGCATGTGTGAGGGAGGAACCGAGGCACCCTGGGCCACAGTGACTTCCACCTCCACCTCTACCCCACCCTATCCCCACTCAACAGGCACTCTTAGGGTACACATGTGGCAGGGGAAATGCAGGCAGTAGCAGAGACAACCTGAGGGAGAGAAACCAGCTCCACCTTATCTGTCTAACCAATTAGGGGAGAGGAAAAAGTGAGGCCGAGTAAGAAAAGGCCCCACTTCACTGAAGTATCCTCTATATTCATGGACAAAGCAAAAAATACTCTAGTGGCCCTTGCACAGGATTGGCAGGAAAAAGAAGTGACCTGGGGCATGGGGTTCCCGGGTAGTCCTGAGCCTCCAGGGCCACGGAGTTTCCCTGGTGGAGGATTTCGATACGCCAAAGGCTCCTTCCTCAAGATTACCTGGGCAAGCCTGCGGGTTGCAGTCCTGGTACTCGGCGGCGTCGCCCACGCAGGGCAGGCCTCCACTGCGGGGCTCCGGGTTGGTGCACGTTCTCTTGCGGACGCGAAAGCCCAGCTCGCAGTCCCGGGAGCAGGACGACCAGGGGCCCCAGGCAGCCCAGCCCCCGCTCAGCGAGTGTGGGGACGTGCTCCCGCTGCGCAGGAGATCCTCCACCAGGGCTGGGGAGGGCCGCGGGCCTCAGCGATGCGGGCGCCGACAACCGGGCCACCCGCTCCAGTCCCCGGGCCTTCCCCGGGCTCCCGCTCCCGGCCTCCCCGACCCGCCCCCGATGCTCCGCGGGCCGGGAGGTGGGGCGGAGGGCGCGGGGCTGTACCGTCGGTGTCGCAGGCTCCGGAGCCGTCCGCTGGGCAGGTCCTCGTCTCAGTCCTCCTCCTGCCAAGCTGCAGGCCGTGGGGGTCAGGCAGGGGAGCGCGGCACGTGAAGCGGAAGCGCTGCTCCTGCCGCGCCCCGCCCTGCGTCACGTTCACGGGCAGCCAAGGGGTCCACGGGGTGTTGCGCCGCACTTCTGGACAGCCCTCGGGGTTGCAGGTCTTGAATTCCTTTGGAATCGGGGTGGTTTCAGAGCCCTGCAGCCCCCAGGCCTGCCCTGCCCTGGGGTTCCAGGCCACGCGGCCTACCCACGCCCCTCACCCCTCGCCCCGGCCCTCACCACACCACAGCCTGGGCAGGAGTTGCCATTCTCGCAGGCCCGACGACGCGACTGCATACCGCCCCCGCAGTTGTTGCTGCACTTGCTCCAGGAGCCCCAGGAGGCCCAGAAGATGGGCACTGGGCAAGGGGTGTTTTCATTGCAGAACCTGGGGAAGAGGGGGAGGAGTCATCACCCTAAGGAGGGGTACTGCCACCCCTGACAAGGTGTCACTTGGGAGATTGGCAAGGAAAAGAGTACCCTGGGGTCACCCAGAAATTCCAGGCCACTTTGTAGCAGGCCCAGAAAGTGTGGGACCTCAGGGCAGTCGGTCTTCTGATCTCCCTGACCATCCGCTAGCTCACCGCTCCTCCCGGCCCTTGCCCACGCAGATGCGGCCCCCGTGGCGGGGCGCAGGGTTGCTGCAACTTCGCTGGCGGACCTGGAAGCCGATCCCACAGGATGTGCTGCACTGTGCCCATGAAGACCACGGGGTCCATGCCCCATTCCTGGTAGAGTGACATGGGACAGAAACAGATGCACCTCTTGAGCCCTAGCTACTTAGATCTGGTCCACATCTGGTATGGAATTTGTATTTTCATCAGGAGGGACCAGATGGTGACAGAAAATATCAGCTCTTAACCAGGCTGATACCCATTCATCCGTTTCTTCATTCATGCCACAAACATGTATTGAGAACCTTCTATAACCTGGATCCTACCCATGGAGGCCAAAGGACTCACTCTGTAAGAAGGTCCCAGTCACCTTTCCCGTATGCAGTTGTCCTTTCACCCTTCTTAATTGGTCAGTCCTTGCACTCCAACCCCAAATCTCACCCCTGTTCTGCACTCACATTCTTGGCTCCAACCTCAGACACTACTCACTATTGTCCAGTGATCACTGGGCTCCTTATCTTTCAAGTAAGCTGGACAACTGTATTCCTACCTCTTAAGGTTGCTGTGAGCCGTTAAATTAGTGAACATATATGAAATAGTTATTTTAAGAGTTCCCAAAATAATAGGTTCATTATTATAACCATTTTATGGAGTCCCCAGATACCAGGCAGTTGCAAGCTTTTTACATACATTATCTCCTTTAACCTTCTCAACAACTCTTCGTGAGGTACTGTAACCCTCACTTAGAGAAACTCAGAGTGGTTAGGTGGCTGGCCAAGGTCACATCTCTAGACCATATAGTCCAGGATTGCCACCATCTCATCCTGTCCCTCAAGTTTGGGATAGCAAGACCCACTGAGGCTAACCTGTCTGGGAGGGACTCCCATGCCTGGGCAGCCTTCCTCTTTGCATCAAGAGATACCACAAGGTAAAAACTTCCCTCCCACTGTTATGGAAAATTCCCCAGAGTTCGTGTTTCCTGCCTCAGACATTAGTCATCTGTTCAGTTCCTGGCACTGCCCTGCAGAGGTTTTTGTCCCTTAGTGCAAGCAGTTGGATGGGGATGCCCCTTATCTCCCATTCTTTCCACCCAAGTTGAAGGCCAACACCATGCAACCCCTATCCTTTCATACCTGGAACAGTTGGCGATGTGGATGGCTGGACCCAGGCAGCTGAGGCCCCCACAGCGGGGCCGGGGGGAGTCACAGGATCGGGCCCGGCACTGGCAAGAGCCTGAGTTGTCTCCATCTAAATGCTCACATGGTTGCCATGGTGACCATGGACCAAAGCCCCCATCCCGTGTCACATTCCGCACCTGCAGACTCACAGAAGGGGAAGGACCCCTGTCACAGGAGGCAGGGGCAGGAAGGTTTGAGATCCCAGGGCACTTGGGGAATACTGATGGGAGTCAAAGTCTAGATTGAGGGACGAGGGCTGAGGTGGAGGGGGGCACAAAGGGGTTCTCACAGGACAGGCTGTGATGTTCTGGGTCCAGAGGCTCATGTTGGAACTGTCCTCCAGTGTGCTGCAACGTTGCTGCTTCCCATCCCAGCCGCAGTATGGGTCCCGTGCCCCCAGGCATGCCCTGCCAGACGGAGGTGCTGACACTTAGGTCCACTGACTTCCCAGCCTCAGTTGCATCTCAAGAATATGCCTGGACAACCCCCTCCTGAGCACCTCTTTCCATGCAGTTCCTTCCTTGATATTTAGTAAATTCCCTGTGCACTCTGTGTCAGGCATCATTTTAAGCACTTTACAAGCATGAATTAATTTAATGCAGCAACTCAGTGATGCAGGCCAATTACCATCCCCACATTGTATAGAGGAAGCCCAGAGAAATGACCACTAACTCAAACTCTCCAGAGACTGCACACTTAACCAAAAGACTATATTACTTTCCTTGAGGACAGGTGCTTCATATTCCCCATATAGGGCTGCAGGAATAGACATGGGTAATAAAATCCAAAAAGGTGGTGCCTCCCTGTGAGATGCTCTGACTAAGACAGAGAAGACCTTAAAGTGTTCTTGACCCTGGCTCACATGAGAATTACCCAAGGTGCTTTTTGAAAATACTGGTACTGGAGGCCATCCCAAACAGGAATCTCTACAAAGGGGTGGCTTTTAAAAGCTCCCTGGCCAATTCTAAGCATAGTAAGCCCAACTGAGCATCAGGACCCATACGCAACTTTTTTGTTGTACAAAGAGAGGGGGAAAAGAGGTGACCACACATATTATTCATGGTGGAGTTGAGACCATGCTTCCCAACCACACTTCTCCCTTCACACTCCTGCCTCCCAGCTGCAGATTACGTCTAATTTCACACACGGAGTGAATACGGATCCATCCTTCAAAACACTGCACAGAGTCAGGGAATACTTGGGTGTAGTCCAGGGTCACCTGGAGCTCTTCAGTGGCAGAAAGCAGAGTTCAGGGTTTTAGCATCATAAGAAGGTGCTCAGCTGCCAGGAAGGACAGCTCACCCTTCCTGGCCCCAGGGCAAGTCTCTAGCAGTGGCCCAGGAAAGATAATGGTTCCCACATCAATGTGTGTCCTAGATGCTTCCACTTCTCATGTCCTAGGGTTCCTTTCTTCCTTTTCTTCTGAATTATTTAAGGCAATGTATCCTTTACATTTTTTTAGCAAGAATTTTAAATTCCTGCTAGTAGGACTTCAAGGAGTAGAAAAAAGAGACTATGAGGATTATGGAGTCAGGATTTGCTGTCCATTAGCATGTAAAGAGAGTAGAAGATCCTGGATCCAGAAAGAAGTTCCTTCTAAACCCCCAGAGAGCTCACTCCAACCTGTGGCTTTGAGTCTCTGCTCCCTGGCTGACATTTGGACCAAAAACACTGCTAGCAAATTCAACTGATCAGCACTCAGTCAAGCCTTTGCCAGTTTATTTCCCTTAGCCTCCAAAGGCAGTGACAAACTTGAGAGGCAGCTGATGTGACACTTTATAACCAAATAAGTTAACTGGGCAAAACAGAATTAGCCATGATTTGTGATGAGTAATAATAACAAAGAAGATTCTCTTCATCAAAAAACAAATATCTCCCAGCAGAGAAAATGACTAAGGGCAAAAAATTTTGAATAGGCTTATATAAGACAAAAGCAAATGATTCTGTAGGAACCCAGCGTGTCTCCTGCTACTTCTTCCTCTAGAGTGTCACCACTTTTAGAGCAATAGTTCCCAAGCCTTGACTGCAAATTGGAATTTTCTGAGCATCTTTTAAAATGCTTAAGCAAACAAAACAAGTCCTCCTGAATCTGGGCCCTTTAGACTGGAAGAGGCCCAGGCATTAGACTCTTTTAAACTCCCCAGGTGATTGCAATGAATAGCCATGGAATAGCCTGAACGACTGGTCCAGGCGCACTTTTGTCAGAGCCCAAAATGAAGTGCCTTGTTTTTCCAATCCCTGACAATAGGAAATGAAGGAAAGAAAAAGTAGAGTAGGCACTGCCCCAGCCTGCCCCTGCCCAGGCCCTCTCACCCTCTTGGTCTTTCCTTTCTCTGTAGTCTCAGACAAGAAAGGGAGACCACAGGAACAGCAGCCTGCTCTACCCCTGCCCCTGCTCCTGGCATCCTGTGGGCCTTTGAGATGCCCCAGGGACCAGGGCCTGAGGTCTTTTCCTGTGGAAACTAAACAGAATGACTGCCTCCTTGGCTCAGGTAGATCCACATTCACTGTTTTTGGCCAAAGGCCACTTTAAAGCTGACAAAACAGAGGACACTCTTAAGAAAAAGCTCCAAGCAGAAGACAGTTGAAGCGTGTCTCTGACTGTAGAAAGGGGAGGTGATTTAGAGTTCTTTTCATAAAAGGAGCCATCAGGCCAGTAATGTGTCACCACGCCTTCTTTACTGCACCATCTCCAGCAGCCGTTGCAAAAGGGAACAGGTTCATTGCATGGGCTCACAGGCAGGACAGAGATGGATGGTGGACATTGTAAGCAATCAGATTCCAGCTCCTCTAGCAATAGCCGCACGGGGGGAGCTGTCCAAGGTAGAAACGGCACCCTGAGGCTGTGAGCAAGTGGTCGTTACTTAAGACTGAAGAGGAATGGGGCCTGGTCAGGAGAAGATGCCCTCCGAGTGTGGGCCTCTGCTGCCCTCACAGAGCAGGCTGAGGGGACCTATGAATGAACTTGGGTAGAGGATCCCCTCTCCCAAGGGCAGGGAGAAAGGCCTGCCAGAAGGAGGAAGGAGTCATAGATGCTTAAAACGTCCACTTTATAGACTCCCTCATTCCCCCTGCTCCTCCTCATGTGAGCCCTGGTCCTCTCTGGCCAGTCCCTTGTCTTGGCTGTGCCCCGTGGGGCTGAGATTTGCCCCAATGAAAGGAAGCAGTTGGAGATAAGCCCCTGGATTCTGGGCAGAGGAGGGGGCCCACCAACACCTCTGCTTACCCCCCTCATCCTCCTGCTAGTCTTGGAAGGAATGAGGAAACAAGCATGAAATAGCGATCCTAGGACACAGTAAAACCCTGTGATATGCACCCCATGATAGCGCACATTCTGATAAACTGTGATTGGCAGTTGGCTCCCAGACATCTGGAGTGCACAGCCTGGTGGCTGCATGTCCTTGCTTGGGTCATTTTATTAACCTTGCAGTAATATGAATTGCTTTTTATAGTCTGTGGACCAAACTTAGAGTTTTATGCCATGGTTTTCATCATATACTTCAAGGACTTCTATCCCAAACTCAGGAAACCAGATAGGACAGCAGTGTCCAACTCTGAACTGATTGTCTGCCATGTTCTCCAGGATAGGAGTGCATCAGGCCCCATACACAACCTCCCCATCTCCTCAAAGAAGAGCATGAGTGGGGAAATGGCCCAGCAATTCCCTTCCTCTTTCCACTGCAGACACCAGACTTTATGTCTGGGTTAGAGCCACACTAGTTCACTGGGGACGTCCATCTGCCCCATGATGGTGCTGCTCACTCCTGTCTGATCCATCCTTGTAAAACACCTTTCTGGGCAGCCTGGGGCTCCACCCTCTGTTCCATGACCACCTCAGTGCCCACAGCCACAGGATTCAAGTCCAAATCCTCCCTTGATATTCTCAGCTGGCCTCAATCCACTTTTCAGTCCTATTTCTCACATCTCTCCTGCACCAACCTCCTTTTAGGCCAAATAATTAGCCAGCAGAAAGATCCGTCCTGTGCGGAAGGCCATTTTGTGCCTTCAACTGGGTGAGGAGGATTCCTGGTGGAACATAAAACATACTGGGGCGCTGGGTTTGTGTTGTGGGATTTACAACCTCTTGGAAAACAAGATGCATGTGAAAAGTTTAATAAGAGATGGGGGAATGCTGTCAAGCAGATGACTTTTCACTCAAGGCCAGTGTCACAGACTCAATATCACATATTCAACATCACAGATTCTAAGACTTCAGAGAGCCCAGGAGGTTGGGGCTGGGGTACTCCTAAATGAGATTAGGGAGGTCAAAAATAGGAATAAATGTACTAGCCACCACTTATGATTTTCTAAACTAGGCACTTCATGAACACCAGTCTCAATCCTTAAAACAACTCTGCATCATGCACTCCATCAAATTTCCTGCCATTTTCCTGATGAGAGAGTCAGGGCTCAAAAAGGTTAAGTGACCCACTTGAGATCATATAATCAGTAGGTGATGGAGCTGTGATGGATCTCCAGGTGTGTCTAACTCCATCACAAATCCTTCCTAATACATCCTTCTCTCTCCATGCGACAGAGAAGGGCTGGGGTTCCTCTCCCTACCCAGATATCCAGAGCTTTGAGTGAAGCAAGTATTGGAGGCCCGTTCATCTTGTTTCCTCTCACACCAGCAGTTCTGCAAAGTGCCCTGAGCATGGTCGGACTTGGTAAATATGTGCTGTTTGGCTGATAGAGCCATGTGTGAGGGGCTTGGGGAGCCTGAGTCTGCCCACTGCCCTCCTGCTCCTTGGCTGCTTCCTCATGGCTGTGCAGCCTCTTCCCCTGCCCTGCAGGCCTCTGTCCAGCTTCCAGAACACTCCACCAGAACTGGAGAACAACCCTTGGCAGCATAGATACTATTTGTCTCCCAAATCTCAAGGACAGATGGCAGAGCTAGGAGGACTCTCTGTTGCAAAGGCCACAGAAAGTCCATGTGGCTGAGGCTATGCCAAGTCTTGACGCTCTCAAAAAGGAGGCTATGCACCCTAGGACAGCTTCACTTGGTTGGAGTCTGGAATGCATTTCCGTTTGGCTTCAATTTTCCCCTTAGAACTGGTGGCACTGTTGCCACATCTTTGACTCCACTTGAAGTTATGGTATGGAGACCCAATCTCAGAAGCAGTGGGAACCAAGGGGAATTCCTACAGGTGGTTTCTTACTTCCACCCACCACACCAGCCCTCTCTTCCTGTTCTAGGGAAGGAAGAGGGGTGAAGACTTGAGCTGACTCAAAGCATTATCTCCCATCTGCACCCACATCTGGGCGATAAGTACTGTGGTTTCAAAGATAAAGGTCTCTCTCTGAACTTCAGGGACTGAGAACAAATCAAGTGGTTTAGAGATGGCTGATGGGCTCTAACCATGGGGTTGCCAACAGGGGCAACAACATCCACCACAATTTGCTAAACAACTGCTTCCTGCAGTCAGTGATCGTCTTTTATGCAGTTATCCCAATTAACCCCCACAAGTTACTTTACAAGGTGGAAACTAAAGTACAGAAAGGTTAAGTAACTTGTCCAAAGGCACACACTGAAGACCTCGGAGATGTGATCCTAGATGGCCCAGACTCCCTTCTTAGCGCCATCTCCGAGGTGTGACTGGGGGGCCACCTCCCTCCTTCCCGCTGCTGGCTTACCCCTGACTGCGGTAGGCGGCGCACCTCTCCAGAGGGACCCGCAGGACTCCGTCGCTCAGCCCCACAAAAAGCGCTCGGGCGCTGTGCAGGATTCGCAGGCTGCGCAGGGGCTCTTGTCGCCCGGGAGGCAGCACGTGCAGCTCCTCCAGATAACAGCCACGGAGGCCACGGCTCACAGTGGACAGCGCCTTCAGGATGGTGCCTGACTCTGGGGGTCCAGAGGAAGGTGACCTTGAAGAATGGGGAACCTCGTAGCCCAGCCCTGCAACCACCTCCCCCACTTGCAGCCCAGGATGGGCGCGGCCAGCTCACCTGTGCCGATGTAGAGCACATGGTAGAGCGTGTCCTTGGCCTGTACGAGGTCCACCACCAGGTGTGAGAAGCGCACGCTGTCTTGAGTGACACAGGGCTCAGGTGTCACTGGCTGCACGGCCTCACTCATCAGGAACAGGCGCTGGGCATCCTGTAGGCTGCGCTCTGTGAGGTTCTCATTGGGGCCCGTCTCTGGCAGGGTGCCACACTGTCTCAAGGAACCAAGCAGCCAGGTCACATGTACCCAGCCCTGCCACAGAGCTGCCAAGATACTGTCTCCACACCCTTCCTCAGTGTAATCTAGGTGTGTTCCCAGCAGATGCTAATTCTCCAACACTCACCCACCCACCCCAGTCCCCGCCCTGCCCAGCCCCGGGTGACACCATTGAACCTATTATTGCTGCTGGGTCCCCTGACCCCTTTCCTGGGAAGAATGCCTCTTCTTTGGAACTAAGAGAAAATGAAGCTGGGAAATTGGTGAAGGAGGGACCAGAGAAAGGAGGGAGGCAAAGAAGTCTGAACTGTCTCGAAAGAAATCATTTGAGTGTGGACACGTGTCCTGTGATTTTATGCTTTCATAGATGCCTCTCCATCACATTGGGCCAAGCTTTATTTTCTCTCTTCTAAATCTCCATTAAAGTTCTTATGCCTTCTAATTCGAGCTAAAAGGAAACCACCTTTTATTAAGCACCTACTACCTTCCAGGCATATCAACCTTTTGAACATATCTATGAGGCATTTCTATAGTGGCATTATTTCTAGTTACAGATAAGGAAAAAGAAACTCAAGGAGGTTGGGTGATCTGCCCAAAGTCACACAGAGACAGGCTAGATCTGGGTCAGGAGCGTTGGACTGCAAAGCCTGAGGTCTTTCCCTGCTCCACACCATACCTGGGGCAGGGAGTTGGGTGGACATGAAAGTCAACCATCAGTAGTAGCCTAACCTGCCCACTTGTTTCCTCTTTTAATGACAGGATGAGGGGATGATCAACTATCCATGACTGGCCCTTACCCACTCCAGCACTCAGAGACCCTGTAGGCCTCCATACCCATGCTAGACACTCTATGAACAAACCCTAGCTCCAAATTCTGGCCACAGCTTGCTTGTGTAGTGCCCTCCTAGCCCCTGACACTTTGTAGAGCTGAGGTCCCACACCCTGCCTCTTGGGGGCAGGGTGAGAAGTGGTTCAGAGCAGGTCCCCTTGCTCTACCTCTCACCCGCTCTCCCCTTCGCGCTCAGTCTGAGAGGTTACCTTCCTGTTAGGGAACCATCACGGACCCCAATGATGGGTATAGATCAGCAGAGACAGGGCTGGTGCTTGTCTGGGGTAAGCAGTTGGGTATTAGCTGGTAGTCTGGTGGGGGAAGCAGGGAGAAGTTGTACCTGGAAATTGGGGATGGGGTTGGCAATGGGGAGCCAGGCAGCCCTGGGATTCTCTTGGTAACGAAACGGGCCATTGAAAGCCTGGGAGATGGCACTGAGGTTGAAGGCGCAGACAGCAGAAGCGGCGATGCTGTTTCTGAAAGACAAGAGATGGTGGGAAGCTGCCCCCCCGTGGACCCTAGCACCCTCCTGAAGTCACGCAGCCAGCTGTCATGCCCAGTCCCCTGGGCTTCGGAAGAACCTAGGATGAGCCTGGTGACTTCTGCAGCTTGGGAGTGTTACAGAAGGAGACGTGGTCCTCACACCCAACAATCCCTGGGGACAGTTCCACTGACAAGAGCACTGGCAGGTCCCTCTGGGCTACTTCTTCATCCCCTTCCCTTATCCAGTGGGAGGTGAAAGGACAATGAGTGGTTTTAAAATATTACTCCCTGGCCCACAGTATAAAATATATTTTACATCACATCTTGCTATAATACCCACATCTACGTTAAAGTTTCATGAAATAATACTAACCCACACTAAATAGGTTATATTGAGCATTTTTTTAAGAGAGAGAGAATTTTTTTAATGTTTATTTTTTAGTTTTCAGCGGACACAACATCTTTATTTTATTTTTATGTGGTGCTGAGGATCGAACCCAGGGCCTCGTGCATGCCAGGCGAGCGCCCTACCGCTTGAGCCACATCCCCAGCCCTATATTGAGCATTTTTATTTTATTCTATTCTGCTTTTTTTTTTTTGGAGGGGGAGCAGGTACCAGGGATTGAACTCTGGGGCACTCGACCACTGAGCCACACCCCCAGCCCTATTTTGTATTTAATTTAGAGACAGGGTCTCACTGAGTTGCTTAGCACCTCACTTTTGCTGAGGCTGGCTTTGAACTCGTGATCCTCCTGCCTCAGCCTACCGAGCTGCTGTGATTACAGGCGTACACCACCTCACCCAGCACCTGCTTTATTTATTTATTAAATAGCTGGTTACCAATCCACTGGTTTATGCTGGAACTTGTGACACCCTGAGCCAAATGATCTCTAAGACCCTTTCAGTCCCAGAATCACAGATATCCATGAGCATGGGATGAACAATACAGAGACGACACTGCTACACCAACCTGACCACTTCTAGTCTCTACACTTGGTCCCTGTCCCAAATGTGTCCATGTCCTTCCACCTCTGCCTGGTTCTAGCTGTCTTCCTGGCGGTCTCCCTATAACCTTTGTAGGCTCCTAAATCATTTGGCTTGCAAGTGCCAGAGCGAGCATTTCAAAAATGCACATCCAACTTTCTCCTTGCTTCTCTCAAACCCTTCAGTAACTTCTTGTCCTTAGGATAAAGATGGCAACCCTTAGTCTCCAAGGCTCTTAGGACAGAATCATCCCTGTCCTACCTCTAGCCTCCTCTCTTGTCTTTATCCCCTTTACTCTCAAAGCACCTGCCACACTATTCTCTGCTCAGTTCTAAAACATTTCTTCCCATCCCCAAACTTTGCGTGCATTATTCCCTGGGGCTGGAATGGTCTTCTCATCCCATCACTTCCTGTCACTTCCTACAGGAAGTCTTCCCTAGTGCTGCCTTACCTGCTGTTAAAGGCATTGCTGCATATTGCTCGTACTCTTTGGAGCCCAATATCCCTATTCAAATTGATTTCTTTAATATACATTACAGAGCCACCCCTGCCTGTGCTCACTGGTATCCAGTCCACACTGGGACAAGCCCCTGGCATGGAGGAGATGCACAATAAATAAACTATTTACAATCCACACTGACATCGTCATTTTTTCTTGATGCATCTCCAGCTGCTCATGGCTACTCACTCTCTGGTGCTGAGAGCTAGTCTGGTCCTGGTCAGCCAGTGAGAGCTATGCTATATGCCTGTCCTCCTGCCTCTGATTGGGTGGCCTCTCTACCTTTGTCCCTGCTTATTTCCTCAGACTGTCATTTCTGTGGCTAGCCTAGTCCCCATGCAAGGCCTGCTACCTTGCAAGCAGAAACCCCTCTGTGGCTCCCGGGTTTCTGACATCCTTACAGAGAACCCTGCACAGCATCCACTACAGCAAATATTGGACTTGGTCTGGTGCCATTCATCACTCTCTGTGAAAACTACCTGATCTGTTAGTGCCTACTGGGAGTAGGAGGAGGGTCTCAAGATCTCTGTAAGGTCACCCTTCCTCACACCAAAGGAAGCAAAAGGGACTCCAAATCCCAGCCTGTGGTTTTCAGTGCAGTTTGGACAGAAAGTGATGGCGGGATTGTCAGGACACACTGCTGGCTGATTTAGCAAAGTCATGGAGTCCTAAGGTGAGAGGGGCCGTAGAGAATCTCTGCTGAGCCTCTCTGAGGGGCTACTGGGCCCTCCAGGGCCGCCACCCCCTCATCAAAGGCAGGATTCTTTTCTTTCATCACCAGCAAGTTCTCCCTCCACGAGTCATGCTCTGGCTCCTCTTGCTTTCTGCACATCTGGCCCAAACCTGCCCTTTTCAGCAACCCAGACCAAGGGCTAACCACTCCAGAGGCAGCAAACCGCAGAATCCTCAGAGGACCAGGTACAGCCACCCCCCCTTATACATGAAGAGACAAGGACTCCAAGGGGCCTGTCTGAGCCCACCAGGCTGCAAAGTCAGGCCAGAGCTAGGCCCTGACATTGCAGGCAAGGGGAGGCAAGGGGCAGGGACTCACACGTTGGTGGTGAAGACCCCGTAGATGAGGTCCTGCTCTGGCAGGTGGAAGGCACTCTGCAGCTCATTGTAGTAGAAGGGGACCTCGCCCGGGCGGGAGCAATTGAGCCGTGCCTTCATGAATGTGGTCCAGGTGTCCTCCAGCAGGAAGCGGCCCCCCACGTCATTCTTGCACACGCGGGCCACCCGAGAGTACACGGTGCGCCCACAGTCATGCTCCACCGCGTTCTCCCGCAGGAAGAAGTATGCAAACAGCCCAATGTCATAGGCTGCCACAAAGTTTGGCTCTGGGGAATGAGGGGAGAGGAACAGGGGTGGGTGAGGCCAGCAGGAAAGAAGAGGGCAGAGTTGGGAAGACTCACCTACTTTGGTGTTCCCAGATGGGCATCCTGACACTATCCTCCCACCAGCTTGGTGACCCAACGGTTCTAATAATCTTGTTTCCACATCCAGTACAAAGCACAGCCATAATAATAGCTGTACAGTGGGTGCCAGTCAATATTCTAAGAACTTTATGTGGACTAACCCATTTAATTCTCATTATGATTTATGAGTAAGTATGAGAATTATCCCTATATTACACATGAGAATAACATGGTACAGAGAGGTTAAGTACTTGCTCAAGGCAACACAGCTAGTTAATGAAGAAGCAGGGATTCGATCCCAAGAAACAGGAAGTTCATATCACTCCTCCCCCAACAGGTTCTTTCCCATAACCACTTTTACTAGCCATTTCCTACATTCTCTCTTCCCTAATAGCCTGCCCTCCATCTATTCTTGTTCCTTGGACATCTGTGATTTCATCTGGGACCCATCTCCAATAAGCTCTGGTCTTTGGACAAACACCTGTCCTGTCCTGGGCCTCTTCCTTAATGAAGCAAGTGTGAGCCCATGCAGAGCTGTTAGGAGTGAGGAGGGAACCAGTCCTGGGGCTGCCTTACCATTGAGCCACTTGGAGTTATACTGGGCTGTGCGAAGTGGTGGCCCATTGCCCAGGCTGCGATAGATGGCCGGGTCCCGGCCTGAGAAGTCGATGACTGTGGCTGCGTAAAGCTCCCCCTGGGAGGAGATGACAGCTGTGGAGTTGTGGCGTGGGTCGTAGGGACAGCGGGCCACACCATTGATCTTCTCGATAGTCCGGCTGAGGTTCCCCACCTGGGGCCGATGGGAAGAAGGGGACACTTTTCCCTAAGGCCTGGGGCTGCCTGTTCTTTCCACCCCCGAGTTCTGCTTCCTCCTAGGTCCCTGGTCCTTCTGGCCTTCTCCCCTCCTCAGCATCCTTGTCACTGCCCACACCACAGTCCCTCTGAAGGAGCGGCCCTCACGGAGGGTGAGGTTCTGCCAGGAGCTCACCTGGACTAGCAGGTGCACCCTCCAAGGCAAGGCTGACAATAAAATAGAGGAGGCCCTGTTAAATTGGAATTTCAGATAAAGAATGAATGTTTTATAGTACTAATTTGTCCCAAATATTGCTAGGACATACTTATGCTAAGATATCATAAAATTCCTGAAATTCTAATCAGTCTGGGAATCCTTTTTAGTTTTTTTTTTTTTTCTGTTATATTTGGCAACCCCATCCCAAGGCTGTGTGCCCAAGTGACAGACCTTCTGCCCGCCCACCCTGGGCTGCCCACCTGTCTGCTGGAGCACACAGGGGAAAAGGCATTGGTGCCACACATGAACACCTTCCGGCCAGCGACAATCAGGACTCGCACGTAGTTCTGACACTCCTCCTGAGGCAAGAAGGAGAGTGGTGAGGACACAGCTCTGCAGGTGTGGTGCTGAGGGTCTTCCCCTCCACCCGCCAAGGCACAGATGCCAACCAACATTCTCCAGCACTTTGTCCCCAGATCCGTGCTGCTGTGACATCCAGCTTGTGTCTGTGGACATCCCTGCTGTCCTCTCTCCTGTGCATGGAACCCTCAGCTCATCCAAGCCTCTGGAGCAGGTGACCTCACACCCATACCGGGCCCCTTTATTCACACAACCATAAGTCTCCTGCCAACTCCAAACAGGACCCCTGGGACCACCAAGGCCACATACCTCCGTCTTCCCCTTGCTTTGGCAAGAGCGGCGTGTGTCCTCGTTGGAGGCCCACTCGGTGGCCTGTGGGAGGAACACAGATGTCACATGGCTCACTCCCTACTACTCCCCCAAAAGGCAGGAAGAAGTCAGGGTCTGAGTGAACAGAGAAAGGGTTGGGGGCAGTCTGCAGGGTAAGGGCTACTCTCATCCCATCAAAGGGCCGGGGAGGGTTGCCAGGTTTCCTTACCCAGAGGCCTTTGCCGAGTGGCATCACCTGAGCCCAACACCTTCCTGCCTGCCTGAGGCAGGGGTGATGTCCTGCACCTTCTAGGTGCTTTATCTTCCCTGTGATCCGTCCTAGACTCTCCCCAGGTCAGCAGGGAGCTGTAAGTGGCCAAAAGGACCTTCAGTACCACCCCAGGCCCTGAGTGGGAGGTGGAAAGTGTATCTCCATTATGAGTCAGATGTCCCCCAAATGAATGGGACATACGGCATGGGGCTCTCTTGAAAGGCTAGATTTTGCAATCCTTAAAGATGGGAGATTTAATTTTCCCACTATAACACTTCAAAGTGTGTATTTTCCCCCCTTAACCACAGACGAAATCAAGGTTCAAAGTGACTGTTCAGAGTTACGTCTCCTATGCTATAGAACCGAAATGGAACCCCACCCTCCTCCAATGCCAGAGGCCTCGAGCTGTCTCTAGGAATCCCCTTTCCTAAACCGCTCCTCCCTGCCCCCCCCACCCCCGCCCGTCTGCACTTCTTTTCTTGGCTCCCTGTGGCATCACTTACACTGTCCTGGGGTAAGGTATTTGGGGATACAACTTCAAAGTGCCCAAGGCATTAGGAGAGAGGGCCGTACCCCAGCCAGGATTCCCCCTAAACCTATTCTCTCCACTTTCTCCAAGAAGTGATCCCCTTCTCATCCAGGCAATGTCCATAGCCCAGGTGGGGCTCATTATATATTTCTGAGTCACATGTATAAACATGAACTGCCAACCTGTCCTGGGGCAGGGAGCCCTGAGCAAGCAGCTCTCCCATCCAAATGGAGGGGGAAAGACCATCTGCTTTTTTTAATTGCTAACAAAGATGCTTCTAGTCCCCGCCTGCAGAGCTGCAGGGCTGGGTGGTGGGAAGGGAGGCAGGGGACTGGAGAGGGAGCCACAGCGCAGCTCTCTTCTTTCCAGGCTGGGCCACCCATACCTGAAATGGCTGTTATGGGGGATAGAAGGAGACTGACTCCTGCAGACCCTGGATTCAGGAGCTTGCGGTGAATTTGGTGAGACCTCCCTTCAGGCCTGTGAGCGGCCTGGGAGGGCTCACCTCACCATGCCAGTCCTGGATCTTGGGCCCCTGCTTCTTCTAGACCTTAGAGAAAGGCAAATGGCCCTTGGTATCTGGACAGAAACAATTGAGCAATGTAAGACTCAGGACCCATGAGCTCCCAGGCTAAGCCTGATGAGAGAGGAGAGGGACATCCATGAGGACCCTGGGAGTCTCTGGGGATAGAGAAGAGCAATGTTCACAGCCACTGCAGATGTCCAGGGAAAGTACAGGCAGCAGGTGGCTGCAGGAGGGCTGTGCAGGCTAACAGGCCTTGCTGGGGTCCCGGGGTCCCTGAGCACAGGAGCACATTGAAGTGGTCAGCATGTTTATAGCGAGGGGTCAAGAACCCCAATGGTGGGTGCACAATAAAAGTTTAAGTCACTCTGAGCTCAACAATGGGACAAAAATTGTGTTAGGGACTTTTTTTCTCTCTCTCTTTGATCCTGGAAACAGCCAGTGAAACTCCATTAGCCTTTTGCTCAACATAAAGGTGAGGAAACCAAAACCCAGAGAGTGTGCATAATTTGCCCAGGGTCAGCAGCTAGTGAGCCACAAACCCAAGACACAAAGCCAGACAATGGACTCCAGCTCTGAGAGAGCTCTTTCTGCTTCATCTAGTAGCCTCTCGTGATCAGATTCCTTTATTGAGAGTTAGCCCAATGGCCCTAAGAGAATTTGTGTATACTCATAATGATAATAGCAAAGAGTGGGCTTTTTGGAGTCATTTTATTTGAAAAAAAAATTTTAACCAAAATAATGATGCACAGGGTTTTTAAAAAATATATGAAAAATGTACCAATAAAAATCCTAGCCATATACTCCTCCAATTTCCCAACCCTCTTACTCTAGGACAACAACTTTTACCTATTGTAGTTGGTTCTCTATTTCATTTTAAACAAACTTCTCAAAAGAATGTATCTGTCTCAGATTTCATCTTTTCACTCCCTGTTATAAAGAGTTTTTACCCCCAGTGCTTCAGGAGGTTGAGGCAGGTGGATCATAAGTTCAAAGCCAGCCTCAGCAACTTAGACCCTATCTCAAATAAAAAATAAAAAGGGCTGGGGACGCTGAAGTTGTGGCTCAGAGGTAGAGTGCTTACCTCACACATGTGAGGCACTAGGTTTGATCCTCAGCACCACATAAAAATAAACAAACCGAATAAAGGTATTGTGTCCAACTACAACTAAAAAAATTGTATATAAAAAGAAAAAAGGGCTGGGGATGTGGCTCAGTGGTTAAGTGCCCCTGGGTTCAATCTCCAGTACCAGAAAAAAAAAAAAGATTTTTCCCACTTACATATCGCTGTTCATCCTGTCCCAAAGTGCACATACATCTTCCCTCCCTCTTCCATCCTCCCATTACAATTAGTTCACGTTAATTAAAGTCAATGTTCATATTCACATTATTATAAATTTTTCACTGCTACCAGCTAGTACCCCAGATTTCAGTGAAGATAAGCCATTAAGAAAGAAAATACACTGCAAGTCAAACTCTCTGATCATCTAAATTTTTAATGTAAACTTATTGAAAGTGCTCTTATTTAGACATGTATTTTTATGACATATTGATCTAGTACATAAAAAAGAAAAGAAACGGAAGCAAAATGATGTATCCTTAATCTTAAAATTCAGTGTTAGTCTTTTCTGAATCACTTCTGTCAATGTTCACTTTTTTGTTACCTTTTTGCTTATTTGTTGAGGAATATTATTATTTTTTTTAACTACCCAGCATCAGTGGTGTAGTATTCCTAAAGAGTGGGCCACTTTGGTCTCCAGGACTTTCTCCCAAGCTACTCACCCCATTCTGCAAGTTTGGATGCTGGCACATTTTTTATCCTCCTCCTTTCCCCCCCCCCCCCCCCCCCCGTTGTGCTAGGGATTAACCCCAGCAGGCACTTTCCTGATCTTACCAGAATGCGCTTAGGGGGGTTTTCTGACAAACCCAGATTCATATTCCTTCCTCATATGATCTCAAAATGACTGAAATGTCAAGGGGTTGCTGCTGTCCAGTTAAAACACCAGAATGATGACCAAGCCCACACCTGCACAGCAATGACAACTACATCAGGACCAAAGTCTGGCCAGTAGAGATTCTAGGATGGTTATGACTGCAGGACACATCCTGATTTCAGACTGATTAGAATGTAGAAGTGTGCATCTAAGAATCAATCAAATAGTCATAGTTGGATGGGGTTTCCTTTCTTGAATGACTGTTTGTTTTGATTTTCTTCATTTATTTGTTTTTTTCCCCAATGTTCTAAACATCTTACAAACCCCATTTTCTAACTCCATCAATAAATTATTTAGATGATCTATTTGTTCCCAACCTCTGTCCTCCTGCCCCAGGGGGCTGGTAGTCTCCTGTTGGCTGTGGACATGGGGTTGCCTCTCTCCTCTCTCCTGCCTTCTGAATCCCATGTTTCCACCTTTGTTGATTTACTTTGCTTATTTTGATGGAATACATCTCTAGTATCTTCCTAAGGAAAAGAATATGGTAGATTTGTTTTTAAAATTATTGCATGTCTGATTTATTCTCCATTCTTGACTGACGGTTTTGATACAGAATTGAAAATAATTGTCAGTCAGGATTTAAAGGTCTTTCTTTCTCCATTGTCTTCTAGATTCTCACATTGCTATTGAGGAGTCTGAAGCAATTCTTACTCCCCATCCTCTGTACTGGACTTTATCTCTTTTTTTTTTCTTCAGGCTCTGGATGCTTTCTCATCTTCTCTTTAATAACAGACCTGAATCTTGCACTGATGTGTGTAGGTATCTCGTGGGAATTCAGTCAACTTTTTCAATTTGAAGATTCGCCCTCTGTTTTGGCAAATTTTCTTATGTTAATTTACTTAATTTTTCCCCTTACCTTTTCCTCTTTCAAAGATCTGATGATTTTTGGCTATTTGTGCATATTTAAAAATAAGGCACTGGGCTGGGGTTTGGCTCAGTGGTAGAGAGCTTGCCTAGCACGTGCAAAGCCCTGGGTTCGATCCTTAGCACTACATTAAAATAAAGGTGTGTGCCCAACTATAATAAAAAATAAATATTAAAAAAAAATAAGGCACTAACCATTTCCCACTGAAAGGAACCAGGGCTTCTTGAAGAAATAGCTGATTTCAGGTGTGGGGCAGCAGAAGGGCAAGAGGAGCTTGGGAAGGCTTATTATACCAGATAGCAAGGACAGAGCTGAAGATGACCAGGCTGGGTTTACAGCACCCAGGAGCCACCTTGAAGAGGACCACCCAACTGGAGAAAGATGGGACAGTCAGGAAAGAGAACTGCAATGGATTGAAACACATCAACTCTGTGTGAATCCATGAATTTATAATAATAATGATAATAGAAGAATAAAATTAATTATCCACCATTAAGCATACTATCAAACCAGCTCCTCATTTGAAAACTATAATGAAAACAGAATATTGAAGAAGTTAAAAATGCACTATCTTGAAATTCTGCCAAGTTGGTATGTTTATTATTTCAAGCCAAAATCACTTGAGGAGTTGGAACTTCAGAAAGAGCCCTTTGGCCTGACTTTTTCTACATGCACCAATCCAAGATTCTTTTAGTAAAGGTGTTCTTTCTATACCAAGGCAGAATAATAGTCTTAATCATCCAAGATTGGTAATTGGGGCTGTAATGAACCGGAATAAATTAATTCATTGGTGTAATCCTTATTTCCCACTAGCTTTTACACCCAACCCCCATGTATCTCTTAGTGACATCCCTAGTTCAGAGATCAATTTGTTCTGTCAT